CCCCAAAACCCCAAAACCCCAAAACCCCAAAACCCCAAAACCCCAAAACCCCTTATAAAAATATTTAAATTGATAAAAATAAAATTTTGAAATATTTTTCTAAATGGAGACAGAACTTGAGCTATCTGCAGTTATAGGATTTAAAGGCACTGTTGCCGATGGACTTATACTTCATCCCAACAACGAACATTTACTTTTCCCTCTTGGAACAACCATTGTTGTGAGACACATTATTGAGAGGACTCAGCAGTTCCTGAGAGGCCATGATAATAATATATCTGTGATTACAGTGTCTGATTCAGGAAAATATATTGCTTCTGGCCAGCAAACTCATATGGGATTCCAAGCAGATGTCATTATTTGGGATTTCGATACCATGAGTATTTTACACAGACTCAAGTTGTTGCATAAGGTCCTTATTCAGAGTCTCACTTTCAGTTTCAATGAAATGTACCTGGCCTCAGTTGGCGGCCAAGACGATGCAAACTTGGTTATTTGGGATATTGAGTCTGGTAACGCTGTTTGTGGAAACCCCACTGGTACTAATGCAGTTAATAGAATTTGCTTTTACAACAACTCTGATGACAGACTCATAAGTATCCACGACTATCAAGTCCTCATTTGGTCAGCTGATTACTCCAATAAAAAGATTTCGAATGACCTTGTCAATCTGGGTCAAGTCAAAAGAAAATTTACTTGTGTTGTCATTGACCACTCAGACTCATTTGCATACATGGGTACCAAGACTGGTGATATCGTCGAGATCTCGCTTGACAAAGCAATGTACAAGAGAATCGGTCCAGTTAAGAGACTCTTCTCGCTTGGAATCAACTGCATTACCCAGGTTCCTAACGGAGACATCTTGGTTGGAGCCGGAGATGGAACCATCGCTAAGATTGACCACAGCAATATGAGAGTCAAGTCTGAAGCTGAAGTGCTAGGAGCCGTCACTTCGTTCTCGCTCACAGCTGATGGCACCCACTGATTCGTTGGAACCGACAAAGCCACCATTTATTGGTCTGACACCGACACGATTGAGCCAGAACTGAGAAACACGTGCCACTACGCTCAGATCAACGACCTGGCCTTTCCGTACGGGTTCAGCAAAGTCTTCGCGACCTGCTCCATCAACGATATCAGAGTGTGGAACAGCAAGACCAGACAGGAGCTACTCAGGATCGAAGTGCCAGGGCTTGAATGTCACTCAATAGACTTCTTGAAGAATGGCAAGAGCATCATCAGTGGATGGAACGACGGGAAAATCAGAGCGTTCTTGCCTCAGTCAGGAAAACTGCTCTATGTTATCAACGACGCCCACAACCACGGAGTCACAGTCGTAGCTGGAACCAACGACTGTTCTCGTATTGTTTCAGGCGGAGAACAAGGAGAAGTCAGAGTCTGGTCTATCGGCTCTCAGACCCAAGTGATGGAGGCTTCTCTTAAAGAACACAGAGCCAGAGTCTCGGACATCAAGATCAACGCCAACGACGACCAAGCTGTGAGTTCGAGTCATGATGGCTCTTGCATTGTGTGGGACCTCGAGAACTTCACCCGGATCATTTGTCTGTTCGAGTCGACAATGTTCAAGCAAGTGGTGTACCACCCAGATGAGTCGCAGCTGCTGACTGCAGGCTCAGACAGAAAGATTACTTACTGGGACTGCTACGACGGACAGGCCATCCGTATGCTCGATGGCTCAGATAGTGGTGAAATCAATGCTATCGATATTACTAAAGAAGGAGAACACTGCGTGAGTGGAGGAGAAGACAAACTTGTAAAGATCTGGAACTATGACGAAGGAATCTGTTATAATCAAGGAACTGGTCATTCAGGAACTATCACAAGAGTCAAAATCTCTCCAGATCAATCTTTCATAGTCTCAGTTGGATCTGAAGGAGCAATTTTTATTTGGGAAACACCTAAGGAAGTTGCTGAGGCAAAGGCAGACAGTGAGATGCCTGAGGCACCAGAGGACGGAGAAGCAGCTTAATGGAATAATTCATCAAAACTTGAAATAATTTCTAGATTTTCTTCAATAGAGGCTACCTTTATTTCACCACAATCTAATAGATTAAGTGATACGCTTTCTGTCTTTTTATGTCTTATCAAAATCACAAAACTAAAACTTCCCAAGGATCCTTTGAATTACACCAAGAAACATGATCGGTTTTATATCCATCCTGTTTTCTCTTATTCCTTCATTTAATGGTAAATATTGTCTTAGCTTTTTTTCACAAAGATGGGTTTTCAACTATAAAACATTCACCTCAGTTTCATAATCACTCAAGAGAGATCATGGCAATTAAGTTAGGACATTCCCTTAGCTAAAAAGTTCAGATTTTCACTGGATATTAGCTGAGTATGAACTCCTTTAGGATGATGAGGCTTAGCTCTCAGGATTGAAGACTCAGATCAGGTATGGAGAGATATCTCTTCTAATCATATTTAGCACTTTAGTATTGGTTGAAATTGCCATTAGAGAGTGGGGTTTTGGGGTTTTGGGGTTTTGGGGTTTTGGGGTTTTGGGG